AAATATTTACAAACACAACTACCACCATTACTAATGACAACCATAACTACTAGCACTATTAACATTGGCAACTATAAACACATTATCCACAATCTTTAACACTCGCACCATATATAATAGAAACCAATCTCTATGAATCCTACACTTGTCACCCAAATCCAGCCAGTGAACACGTCTACACTATAACTCACTGTAACCACTTACTGTGCTTACCATTAATACCTACAACCGTAACTACCTACCCACTTTTTCAGTTTGTACAGGCATAGACCATGCACAATATACCGATACTATTGTAGCTAACACTACCGTCACCTTACCGTCATACCTGTTATCACTCGGAGCACTACTAATTGATGTACAGGTACTATCAGTATATTGTATTATCAATATCATAAGTCACCAATAATGTGGGTTACATCCAGATTATTCTTCACCGGTTGATCTTTTCCCCTATATTCACGACCTTTTATTTACTCTATAACTTCAGACAATTAGCAACACTACCATTACATGTTTTAGTAAACTTCACATAAAAGCTTTTTTTGCCCAAATTCCATCATGTGAAGTTTCTAATTTTATAATCTGTTAACTTCGATACTAGCGCAGTAATCATACACTGTAGAGACATCACACTAGTTGTTTTTCTTGCTGCGCCGGAGTGCCCCAAGGCTCAGCATATCTAACCTTTACTCTTGTTTTACATTCGTGACCTTGGTTTGATTTCAATACACAGGAAAACTTCTTTGCTTCTCACAATATTATTGCAAGGTCTGTTTAATTATTCTGATCACACACACACACTGTTAAAAATAAATTATAATGTACTCACATAAAAATATATACATAATACGCCTCATTTACATAATGCTGGCAATGACTGACTTTTCTGACATTTCCATTTTTAATACTAAATTTTTTACAGATACAACAACAACAACAAGAACTACAACCACAACTGCTGAGTCTACTGGAAGTAAGTCTCCTCCATCACAGTTACCAAACACACTGCCACCATAACTGTTACCACCACTCCCACTAACTACCATATATCCAGCATATTGGCAATGGCAATACTGATCACTAATCACAACTTACACTTGCGAAACGACAACGGTAAACCTTTATTCATAACCACAGCTACTAGTACTATTAATATTTACACTAAATGTGTCTTGACCAACATTACTAGCAAAGTACAGAGTTCCACCACCATTGTTATTATCACCTTCACAACTGAAATATACAGAAATATACAACCATGTATCAACGCCCAGTAAACACATGATTATCACCATTATCTATGTATTTATACAGGTACAAATGAAGTCTCAGCCTCAGATACCACACCTGCCGGAGGTATGTCACATACACCACCGTTTTAAACCACAATGCAACCATATAAACTTCCATCACTACCACTGACTACCATAACTTCCAACACTACTGTCACTGGCAACAGTAGGCACTAGAACCAATAACATTTGTCTCTATGTGATATTTGCTCAGAAATATTTACAAACACAACTACCACCATTACTAATGACAACCATAACTACTAGCACTATTAACATTGGCAACTATAAACACATTATCCACAATCTTTAACACTCGCACCATATATAATAGAAACCAATCTCTATGAATCCTACACTTGTCACCCAAATCCAGCCAGTGAACACGTCTACACTATAACTCACTGTAACCACTTACTGTGCTTACCATTAATACCTACAACCGTTACTACCTACCCACTTATTCAGTTTGTACAGGCATAGACCATGCACAATATACCAATACTACTGTAGCTAACACTACCGTCACCTTACCGTCATACCTGTTATCACTCGGAGCACTACTAATTGATGTACAGGTACTATCAGTATATTGTATTTTCAATATCATAAGTCACCAATAATGTGGGTTACATCCAGACTATTCTTCACCGGTTGATCTTTTCCCCTATATTCACGACCTTTTATTTTCTCTATAACTTCAGACAATTAGCAACACTACCATTACATATTTTAGTAAACTTCACATAAAAGCTTTTTTTGCCCAAATTCCATCATGTTAAGTTTCTAATTTTATAATCTGTTAACTTCGATACTAGCGCAGTAATCATACACTGTAGAGACATCACACTAGTTGTTTTTCTTGCTGCGCCGGAGTGCCCCAAGGCTCAGCATATCTAACTTAACCCCCACTCTTGTTTTACATTATTGACCTTAGTTTGGTTACAATACACAGGAAAACTTCTTTGCTTCTCACAATATTATTGCAAGGTCTGTTTAATTATTCTGATCACACACACACACTGTTAAAAATAAATTATAATGTACTCACATAAAAATATATACATAATACATATCTCATTGCCCTGTGTAACCCAATACTACTGACATTCACATTTTAATATTCGGTACACAGATACAACAACAACAACAAGAACTACAACCACAACTTCTGAGTCTACTGGAAGTAAGTCTCCTCCATCACAGTTACCAAACACACTCACCACCGCCAGCTGCCACCACTCCACTAACTTCTGCCACGCCAGCCAGCGCCAGCGGCGCGTGCGATCACTGTCCTGGCCCACGCGCCAGAGCGCGACAACTGGTGACACATTCGCGCCACAGCGCGATACTGTGTGTTTACACTCTGATAACCGTGACCAACATTACTAGCAAAGTACAGAGTTCCACCACCATTGTTATTATCACCTTCACAACTGAAATATACAGAAATATACAACCATGTATCAACGCCCAGTAAACACATGATTATCACCATTATCTATGTATTTATACAGGTACAAATGAAGTCTCAGCCTCAGATACCACACCTGCCGGAGGTATGTCACATACACCACCGTTTTAAACCACAATGCAACCATATAAACTGCATACTCACCTGACCGCGCCAACTGCTTACTACTGTTCTGCTGGCAGCAGGCGACTTTCAGGCCGTGCTCTCTGTCGCGATGTTGCCAGAAATATTTAAACCTGGCCCCACCATTCTCATGACCAACCGCCTTTCTAGCACTGTAACATTACAGCGGCTTCTCGGCCATTACTCCTGATCTTTAACCTCGCACCGCATAGTAAAACCAATCTCTGCCAGATCTCTACCACTTGTCACCAATCTCAAAGCGAGCAGGCCCATTACACTGCCAACTCACTGTAACCACTTACTGTGCTTACCATTAATACCTACAACCGTAACTACCTACCCACTCATTCAGTTTGTACAGGCATAGACCATGCACAATATACCGATACTACTGTAGCTAACACTACCGTCACCTTACCGTCATACCTGTTATCACTCGGAGCACTACTAATTGATGTACAGGTACTATCAGTATATTGTATTATCAATATCATAAGTCACCAATAATGTGGGTTACATCCAGACTATTCTTCACCGGTTGATCTTTTCCCCTATATTCACGACCTTTTATTTACTCTATAACTTCAGGCAATTAGCAACACTACCATTATATATTTTAGTAAACTTCACATAAAAGCTTTTTTTGCCCAAATTCCTTCATATGCAGTTTTAAATTTTATAATCTGTTAACTTCGATACTAGCGCAGTAATCATACACTGTAGAGACATCACACTAGTTGTTTTTCTTGCTGCGCCGGAGTGCCCCAAGGCTCAGCATATCTAACTTAACCCCAACTCTTGTTTTACATTATTGACCTTAGTTTGGTTACAATACACAGGAAAACTTATTTGCTTCTCACAATATTATTGCAAGGTCTGTTTAATTATTCTGATCACACACACACACTGTTAAAAATAAATTATAATGTACTCACATAAAAATATATACATAATACATATCTCATTGCCCTGTGTAACCCAATACTACTGACATTCACATTTTAATATTCGGTACACAGATACAACAACAAGAACTACAACCACAACTGCTGAGTCTACTGGAAGTAAGTCTCCTCCATCACAGTTACCAAACACACTGCCACCATAACTATTATCATCACTCCCACTAACTACCATATATCCTGCATATTGGCATGGCAATACTGATCACTAATCACAACTTACACTTGCGAAACGACAACGGTAAACCTTTATTCATAACCACAGCTACTAGTACTATTAATATTTACACTAAATGTGTCTTGACCAACATTACTAGCAAAGTACAGAGTTCCACCACCATTGTTATTATCACCTTTACAACTGAAATATACAGAAATATACAACCATGTATCAACGCCCAGTAAACACATGATTATCACCATTATCTATGTATTTATACAGGTACAAATGAAGTCTCAGCCTCAGATACCACACCTGCCGGAGGTATGTCACATACACCACCGTTTTAAACCACAATGCAACCATATAAACTTCCATCACTACCACTGACTACCATAACTTCCAACACTATTGTCACTGGCAACAGTAGGCACTAGAACCAAAAACATTTGTCTCTATATTATCTTTACACATAAATATTTACAAACACAACTACCACCATTACTAATGACAACCATAACTACTAGCACTGCAACATTGGCAACCATAAACACATTATCCACAATCTTTAACACTCGCACCATATATAATAGAAACCAATCTCTATGAATCATACTTGTCACCCAAATCCAGCCACTGTACACGTCTACACTATAACTCACTGTAACCACTTACTGTGCTTACCATTAATACCTACAACCCATGTACCTACCCACTTTTCAGTTTGTACAGGCATAGACCATACTGTTCTACGATACTATTGCTGGCTTCTTACTACCGTCACCTTACCGTCGCCTGTTATCACTCAGAACTACTAATTGATGTACCGTTTCTCGGTATGTTGTGACTATAATATCATAAGTCACCAATAATGTGGGTTACATCGAACTATTCTTCGCAGTTTGATCACCTATATTAAACTTTATTTTCTCTATAACTTCAGACAATTAGCAACCCACTACCATTACATGTTTTTAGTAAACTTCTATAGCTTTTTGCCCCAAATTCCGTAATGTGATTTCAATTTTATCATCCTGTTAACTTCGATACTAGCGCAGTAATCGCACACTGTAGAGACATCACACTAGTTGTTTTTCTTGCTGCGCCGGAGTGCCCCAAGGCTCAGCATATCTAACTTAACCCCCACTCTTGTTTTACATTATTGACCTTAGTTTGGTTACAATACACAGGAAAACTTATTTGCTTCTCACAATATTATTGCAAGGTCTGTTTAATTATTCTGATCACACACACACACTGTTAAAAATAAATTATAATGTACTCACAAAAAAAATATATACATAATACATATCTCATTGCCCTGTGTAACCCAATACTACTGACATTCACATTTTAATATTCGGTACACAGATACAACAACAACAACAAGAACTACAACCACAACTGCTGAGTCTACTGGAAGTAAGTCTCCTCCATCACAGTTACCAAACACACTGCCACCATAACTATTATCATCACTCCCACTAACTACCATATATCCTGCATATTGGCATGGCAATACTGATCACTAATCACAACTTACACTTGCGAAACGACAACGGTAAACCTTTATTCATAACCACAGCTACTAGTACTATTAATATTTACACTAAATGTGTCTTGACCAACATTACTAGCAAAGTACAGAGTTCCACCACCATTGTTATTATCACCTTTACAACTGAAATATACAGAAATATACAACCATGTATCAACGCCCAGTAAACACATGATTATCACCATTATCTATGTATTTATACAGGTACAAATGAAGTCTCAGCCTCAGATACCACACCTGCCGGAGGTATGTCACCTACACCACCGTTTTAAACCACAATGCAACCATATAAACTTCCATCACTACCACTGACTACCATAACTTCCAACACTATTGTCACTGGCAACAGTAGGCACTAGAACCAATAACATTTGTCTCT